TGTCATACTTTAAAACTATGGGAGCGAGTTATGGAGCATAGGTTGCGGCGTGATACTAATGTTTCTCAAAATCAATTTGGATTCATGCCGGGTAGGTCGACTATGGAAGCCATACATTTATTCAGAGGTTTGATGGAAAAATATAGAGGAAATAAGGAGGATCTACATATGATATTTATTGATTTAGAAAAAGCATATGATAAAGTTCCAAGAGAAGTGCTATGGAGAGTTCTTGAAAAGAAAGGAGTCAATAATGCTTATATTCAAATCATTAAAGATATGTATGCAGGAGCTATTACTTGTGTTCAAACACAAGGTGGATTGACCAAGTATTTCCCTATTTCGGTTGGGTTACATCAAGGATCAGCCTTAAGCCCATATCTATTTGCTTTAGTCATGGATGTTCTCACTAGACATTTGCAAGATGATGTACCTTGGTGTATGCTTTTTGCTGATGATATTCTTCTTGTTGACAAGACTAGAGAGGGAGTTGAAGGTAAACTTGAATTATGGAGGTCAACCTGCATAAGACTAGCAAATCGATGGTCCACCACTGCAAGATTGTCCAATTTCTCCAACAAATGCTTTCAAATCAACCAAGACACGACACCCTAAAGTTGCTTCACTTTGTGAAGAAGGATATAGATGGAGTGGCACTTGCGGAGAGACGAAAGAGGTTAGAAGCCGAGATGAAAGGTTGGAAAGAGCTCGCAAGATTTTCGGAGGGGATGAGAAAGAAGGCGGACAAAGCTCGCAAGCTTTTCCAATAACCCGCAAGTCAATAGCAATTTTGCTCACAATAATCAACTCCCTTCCTTCACAACAACTTCTCATATTTATAGGCAAAGTAGGGGAATGCCAAAAGTCACATATATTAATTTTCCTCAAGAACCCAAGCACCAGGTTCATGAATTTCTCATTTGCTCAAGCTTTTCCAATAACCCGCAGGTCAATAGCAATTTTGCTCACAATAATCAACTCCCTTCCTTCACAACAACTTCTCATATTTATAGGCAAAGTAGGGGAATGCCAAAAGTCACATATATTAATTTTCCTCAAGAACCCAAGCACCAGGTTCATGAATTTCTCATTTGCTTTTTTGGAAAAACAGCCCAGCTTAAGAAACCGAAGGAGCAACTACAAGAATCAAGGAGGCCGCATGGAACCAAGGAGCCACAGTCTCGGGAAAGACTCCAGGCACGGAAAAAACAGCAGCCAGCCGGATATCCAAGAAGCAAAGCACGGAAAACAACAACCCCCTTATGAATTTTATCATCATTTAAAACAAGCTATGGTTTCCCAAGAGACAAGAAGAAAGGGGAAGGAGAAGGGACAAGTCCACCCCATCATTGAATCCTTCATAATGAGCTACCTTTTGGATATTAATGAGCTACTAAACTTCAGCTCATGCAACTAAGAGAATGAGCTCCATCCCAACCTCCATCAATCAACCCGCGAACTAGTAGCAGCAAATGGACCAATCAAGCCAGCAAACCAAAGGTCTACCACCCTATGCACAACCTCCCATGATCATTGGATGCTTTCCCATCATTAGATAGCTAAAAAAGAAAAGAACATAAAATATACTATTGTTCAAATAAAATTAAAGTTACAGAAATATTTGATAGCATCGGAAATTTAGTTTTATATTTTAAGTAAATAAAAATTTAAATACATGAAATAATATTTAAAAAAATTCCATTAAATATTTAAGACACATTTGTCCAGTTTGTATGTAATATTTTTTTAAATCAGAAACGTTTTTGATGTATCTGACACTTGTCAGACGCGTGTCGTGTTGGACACTTTAAGACTTTTTCAGAAGTATCAATGCATTATAGGCAGACTCACATGCAAGCTGTTAGCAGAATATTGCGCTACCTTAAACAAAATTGAAGTAAAGGGGATTCTCTTCAGAAGTGACTGTGGAATAACCCCAAAAGCATATATTGATTCAGATTATGCAGGATCACAAATAGATAGATGATCTACGTTAAGATACTGAACATTCATTGGAGGAAACCTTATTATATAGAGGAGCAAGAAATAGTGTGGTGGCAAGGTCTAGTGCAGAAGCAGAGTATAGAGTTATGATCTTGGGAATATGTGAGTTACTATGGATCAAGATGATTCTAGAAGACCCGAGGATCAAGTGGGAAGGACCTATGAAGCTACACTATGACAACAAATCAACAATCAATCGCTATGATAAGCCATTATGGATTCATGTTACAAAGTTAGGAAAAACTTTTGAAGTAGGAGGGGATGTGTCATTTAAATGCAATTATTGTGGTGTCACCTACAAATGATCTTATTCTAGGTGAAAAAATATCTACTTAAGATTTATGGTCATAGAATTAAAATGTGTTCTAAGATTACTACGTCACAGTTGATTGAATTGAACAGACAAGTTGATGAAATTGAATCTAGGATCAAAAGGGCACTTCCTAAAGAGATACCTTTGTCATCTATCCATGGTTCATCTCACACTTCTTCGTCATCTGTTAGAGTTGATCATTCATTATCATATAGAAGTGAAGGATATGATTCAAAGAAAAGAAATGGAGTTGCCACTAGTGCTTTAGAGAAGACTTTTAACATGCAGCAGCGAGAGGAATTGGATTGTGAAATTGCAAGGATGTTTTTTTCAGTTAGACTTCCTTTTAATCTTGTAAGAAATCCTCATTACAAAAATGCATTCACTTTTGCATGTAATAACAACCTTGCATGTTATGTTCCACCTAGCTATAATGCATTAAGATCAAAATTATTGGAAAGAGAAAGAGCACATATTAAAATATTGCTTGAACCAATAAAAGGTGTGTGGAAAAAAAATGAGCCACTTTGATGTGTGATGGTTGGACTGATCCTCAAAGAAGACCACTCATTAATTTCATGGCCGTTATAGAGAATTGCCCAATGTTTATTAAAGCTGTGAATTGTGAAGGAGAATACAAGAATAAATATTTCATTGTCAATTTGATTAAAGAGGTGATAATCATTATTGGGCCTTCAAATGTTGTGCAGGTTATAACATATAATGCACCGGTGTGTAGAGCTGCAGGATTGTTGGTGGAGCAAACTTATCCTCATATATTTTGGCCTCCATGTGTTGCGCACACTTTAAATTTTGCTCTAAAAAATATTTGTGCACCAAAGAATACAGTGGCAAATAAATCATCTATGCTGAATGTCATTGGATAACAGTGGTTGCAGATGATACTGTTTTGATCAGAAATTTCATTATGAACCACTCAATGAGACTTTCAATGTTTAATGATTTCTTACATTTGAGAATGTTAGCTGTTGTTGAAACTCATTTTGCCTCTGTAATAATCATGTTGAGAAGATTCGAACAAATAAAAGATGTTATTCAATCTATGATGATTAGTGAGAAGTGGTCTTGCTATCGAGATGATGATGTTGGGAAGGCAAGATATGTGAAAGAAAAGATCTTTAGATGATTTTTGGTGGGATAATGTAGATTACATTTTGGCTTTCACTGATCTGATTTATGATATGTTGTGAAAAGCTAACACAGATAAATCATACCTACATTTGATTTATGAGATGTGGGACTCTATGTTAACAAAAGTGTAAGAAATTATATACAGACATGAAAGAAGGTTACATAATGAAGACTCAAGTTTTTTGAGTATTGTCTATACCATTCTTAAGGATAGGTAGACCAAAAGCAACACACTTCTGCATTGTTTGGCTCATTCTTTAAATCCTAGGTACATTTGTATTCATCTTTTAAATTAATTTTAAATTTCTTGGTAAATGAATAAATAATTTTATATGCTTTGTATTATTTGAAGGTATTCAAGTAAAGAATTGCTTCAAGAAGACCCTCAGTGTGTCTCACCACAAAAAGATTTAGAAGTGTCAAATATGAGAAAGATATGCTTGAAACGATATTTTTCAAATGAGGAGAGAAGAAAGATTAATATTGAACTTGCGAAGTTCTTTAGATATTTAAAGGATTTTGGTTATCAAGAATCTTTGGTTGACAGATGGAGGATGGATCCAAAAATGTGGTGGTTAATTCATGGAGCTTCAGCACTGCTTCTTCAAACAATAGCAATAAAACTTCTTGGTCAAGTATCATCCTCTTCTTTTTGTGAGAGAAATTGGAGCACATACTCATTTATTCAATTGATGAAGAGGAATAAAATAACTCCACAACGAGCTGAAGATTTAATTTATGTGCATATAAATTTTCGTCTTCTATCAATGAAGACCCCACTTTATATGACAGGTGTTAACAAGATGTGGGATGTTATTGGAGATGGGTTCGAGTGCCTTGATGATATGGGATTATTGGAGGTTGCAAATCTTTCTCTAGATGAACTAGAGTTGGAAGCAATGATATTTAATGATGATGATATTGAAGGCCAAAGACCAACCTTTAAATCTAATTTTATCATTCCATCTATTGAGTAGTTGAACCTTCATGTTGTGCTAAATGATTTTTTTTGTTTATATTTTTGTGGTTGTACTAGATTTTTTGTACTAAACATTTTTATGTTATAAGTTAAACAATTTATTATGACATTGATTTATTATTGCTTGCCATTTATAATATGATGTCAACTTAATTTTTATATATTATATTAAAAAAATTATAATGACATGTCCACGCCGCACCCGTGTCCTATTTTTTAAAAAATGTCGTGTCTCGTGTCCGTGTCGGTGCTTCATAGATTGGCAATATAATGCTAAAGAAAAGGAGAATATATTTATTAATGAAGATATATAACTAAAATAAATAGTACATAGTCTTACTATGTTATTTAGCACGTGTAATGATTTTGATATGATAATAATGTCAATTAATAAACATTTTCATTATTTGGGGATTTTTATTATGTTAACTTCTATCTTAACTGCTGAGCACCTTCTCAGTCATCATATAGATGGCTTAACACAGAAATATCATTTAGTTTTTTTTTTTTGGTGTCTGTCATTTAATAATTGTCAAAATAATCGCTTAACAGGTGAGTTGTGTGCGGATGCTATCTGGTGAAAGGGTCCTTACTGCAGCTCATGATGGTGCTGTGAAAATGTGGGATGTGAGAACTGATACTTGTGTGGCTACTGTTGGCCGCTGCTCTAGTGCAGTCCTTTGCATGGAATATGATGACTCCACTGGAATTCTAGCTGCCGCTGGAAGAGATGTGTATGCTAATCCCCCATATACATGACAAATTGAAGGTGCTGATTTTAGTTTGTTTATTTCTTTTTCATTTGTCACATGCTTTAAACTTTTCAGGGCAGCAAATGTTTGGGACATTCGTGCTGGTAGGCAGATGCAGAAGCTTCTAGGTCACACTAAATGGATTCGGTATGGCGAAGATTCTGCATTTATAATCTCGATGTTATATCTCTCACTAATAAATGTTGTGTTTTAACTCTTGCTGATAGTGCAGTTCTATAAGGATGGCTGGGGACATCATACTCACTGGAAGTGATGATTGGACAGCCAGGCTATGGTCTGTTTCTCGAGGGACATGTGATGCTGTTTTAGCATGTCATGCTGGTTCTATTCTTTGTGTTGAATACTCACCTTCAGATAGAGGGATAATAACTGGTATACTATCACTTCTGTGTTTGCTAGGTTGATCAAGATGATCTTGTCCTAAATGGTCCACGTTTAACAAATTCAAACTACATTCTAGATGTCCAATTAAATTTTGCTATTTTAAGTATTATATCCTCAGGTACTCTTTTGATATTTATTTCAGGTTCTGCTGACGGACTTGTAAAGTTTTGGGAAAATGAAGAAGGTATTGTTGTTCATATCATTAATGAGGAACCCATAAACTGCTTCCTTAATATTATTTAAATAGCGTTTTGATTTACTTTACTGCATGCTCTTGTCATCTTTGTCACATTTTGAGAGATACATGATTGTAATATACTTTTTAAAATTACCTGAAAACATTTGGCGCATTAATATTGAGTTTTTGTTAAAATAAAAGTGAAGATTTTATGTAATCGATCAATGAAAAAGAAAAAGAAGTATCAAAGTACACTGTCAAACTAGCTAACAATGAAGCTAGAGTCATTTTGATTGAAGAGAATCCCACGAATTCTCATTTGTTGTTTCTTACTTGAAGTCCAATAAATAAATGATGATGTATTTTCTTTCGATTTCTTCTCCCAGCATATAGAATTAGGGAAGAGAAAAGTTATAGTAATTAATGTAGGAATTAATGGGGGAGTGGGGAATGACAACAGCCTTTGGGATTTAATTGGGAAGGCATAAGGGTGGCAGTTGTTGGAAAGTATTGGGGAAGGGAAAAAGGATAGCAATTAGTGTAGGAATTATTGAGGGAGTGGAAAGGGGCAGCCGCCCTAGGGATTTAGTGGGTAAGGGGAAGAGGTAGCAGCTGTTGGGGAGTATTAGGGAAGGGAAAATGGATAGCAATTAATGTAGGAATTAATGGGGGAGTGGGTAATGGCAGCAGCCACTTGGATTTAATAAGGGGAATAGGAAAAGGTGGAGGGAATACCAAGAGGCAATGGAGTGGGGATTGGCCGGCTATGGGTGGAGAGGAATGGTGGGCTTGTAGGTGAGTGGGAATGGAAGAGAGGGGAAGTGGCTCTGCTGTATGGGACAGCAAAAAATTTCCTCTATCAATAGAGGAAGATGTGGTGAAGAAGGAGAGAAGATAGGGCCAAGAACCTCACCGCGGCTCTGATTGTTGGGTGTTGCATTGCACTGGTTTTAGGGATTTCACTCTTCACTCAAGAAGACTCTAGCATACACAATTTAGGAATATTGAAGTTCAATTCATAATATTCATTCTCCTCTTACAATAGGCAAGGGCCTCTATATATAGGCCTTAAAATATGGACTCAAAAGATTAAAATACCCCCTTGGGCTACAACAGACATATAACTTAACATAAGGGCAAACTGAGAAAGTCTTTCAAAATAAAATACAATGATAAATAAAATGCAGAAAATAAATTATAAATAAAGTTTCCTAATCATGGTCGTCGATCTACGACTCCTTTGGTAGGCACGTTGATTGGGACATCAGATTTCGACACGTGTACCATCGCCGGAGACGCCTATCGACGGCCATGATTCAGAGTCTTTATTTTTGATGTTTTATTTTATTCATGACATTTATATTTCATGTTTTTTCTTTTGTACCCCTATGAAGGAATTAGTGCTTGTTGTAGCCCAAGGGCAATGTCGTCTTTATGTTTTTTTTAATTTCCGGATAGCCTATATAAAGGCTTTGTCATTGTATTTTATGGATATTATTGGATGAATGAAATTTCTACTTCATGTTCTCTTTGTGAGTGCTTAAAGATCTCTTGGTGAATTCTTCATTTGAGATCTCTTAGTGAGTTCTCTAGGTAATTGTAATCCTTGTATTTCATTCTTCCACCTCCCTCTTTCCCACCACAAGAAACCCCACCAAGCTCCACCCGAAACCCTAACCACCTCCCCTCCCCTTAGGCTTCCCACCGCCAGCCACCCTCTCACCACCAGCCGGCCACCTAGCCACCACCCGACCTCCGTCCACCCACCTCCTCTCCGCACATTTCGGATTAAAATTTGAAATTTCAAATTCTTCCCAAATTTGGAGAGTCTATATTTGGAAAGTTTGTAAATGAATCCAAATAGAAAATTAAATTAATTTGGATTTCTTTAAAGCTTATCCTAGTCATCCTGCCATGGTTGGAAACCTCTCTCCCTCTCTCCCCAATTCCCCCTCTCTCTAGCCATACTGCTGGCCCCCCTCTGATGTGGGCAAAAGATATAGGGAGCCTATACCCTTCGCCCACAAAAGAGACGCGACGGACTTCTAACGACGAAATTGAGGAGGAGAAAAGAGACGAGCACAATAGGGAAGAACAAACTCTTACATTTCAATTTAAAGACCAAATAAAAAAAAACTATGACGACGACTTACAAACAACACGACAGACACCCTAAAGTTGCTGCACTTTGAGAAGAAGGATACAGGTGGAGCGGCACTTGCGGAGAGACGAAGAGATTAGAAGCCCGAGAAGAAAGGGTGGAAAGAGCCCGCAGGATTTCCGGAGGGGATGAGAAA